GGCTGCCGCAACTGCCACATCAGGAGCTTGCAGCAGGCACAGATCGTTCCCCAGCCTGCAAAGCTCCTGTGAACAGGCCACGTCCTGTCACGTAGCGTCAGCCAGGCTGTGGCTGCACGTACTGTCCTTGTGCTTCACAGCCAGGCTGGGGGTGATCCTGGTTTGCAGCTGCAGGATCAGTGCCAGACTGCAGCGCTGCCAGGAGCTCCTGGGTCGGCATGGCATGGTGTCGCTGCACTGGCTTTCCCGGGGCTCCAGGTACCCACACCTGGTGTTGCTGCCTGACAGAGCCCAGGGCAGTGCTCTGCTCCATGCCCTGGCTGTCACAGAGGTGCCAGAGAAGATGCTTGGCTCCTCTGTATCTCTGCAGGACACCGCCTCCACTTGCGGCTGTCAGGCTCTGGGGTGCAGACGTGCTTGTCTGGCACTCGCTGTGCCTGAGGACAGCCCTGCACCGGGCAGGGGGGGCCCTTCTGGCCCAAGAGGCACATGACAGGGGCCCCACAGCTCTTGTGTCATTTCACTGGTGAGGGAGATCGTCCAGCAGACAAAGCTGGTGCATGGGGGGTCCTGTGGGCACTTTGTCCTGAGCTGTTTGGGTGCAGGGGTCTGCACAATCTGCCCTCCCCAGGAGTGGCTGCCTGGGAGCAGTGAGCCAGGCTGCTGAGCAGCTCCTGCCTCAGGGAGTTTCTGGGAGAGCTGGTGCTTGTCCTGACCCTCCTCTGCTCTCTTCTAGATGGGTCCTTCCACAAGCACATTATCTGCAAGGTCAGTGTCCTCTACCACTGCAGTCCCCCATCGGGGCTGGCACCAGTGAACCTCCTGGCTGGGGCAGGTGGGAGAGCTGGGAAGGGCATCGGGACCCCTGCAGAGCTTGCCACCCCCAGCTTTTTGGGGTGATAGTGGAGAGCCATGCTCCCAACCCTGGGTGTCCCCAACTCTTGGGACATGAATGGCACTGGCACAGGCCTGTGACTAATGACTGTCCTTTGGCCTCCAGGTGCAGTGTATTGCCACGCTCCAGGTGGGCTCTATCCAGGCAGGGAATGTGTCTGAGTGCGGCCAGTGCTTTAGCCTTTCGTGGATGCCATCCAAGCCCCATCATTACCTTGCAGCTGGTTTTTATGATGGTGAGTACCCCACCATGCACAAGAAGGGCCTGCATCCTGTGGCAGAGCCTTTGGGAAGCAGCCCTTGCCCTGCAGCAGGTAGAGAGACACACATGGAGCTTTGTGCTCCTTCAGCCTTGGGCAGGGAATAGGGGAACCTGAGGAGGAGTATGACGGCAGCGTTGGGGTGAGGAGCAGCAAGTGGTGGGCACTGTGCAGGAACCTCTGCCTGTCCCTGGGACAGGGGAAAAACTCATTGTAGGCTGGCCACAGGCTCCTTCACATACCTTCCAGCGCCAGGACATGGCTCTGGCTTAATCCACAAGCATCTGACTTGCCTGGATGCAATTTTGTGTCTGGCTTCAGGCAATCCACAGTGGTCTGCTGCACTGCCAGGACCTGCCGTACCTGAGCCATGCTGTTGTGCTCTAAGCCCCAGCTCCAGGTCTGGCTCAGCTGCTGGGCCTCTCGGCTGCCGGCCCCGCGGCCGCTGCAGTCCCTACCTGTGCTGCTGCCTGTCCACCAGACGGACATGCTCCTAGCTGCAGTGCTGATGAAGTTGTAGGGCAGCTCCTCACGGGCATAGGTCTCATCCCGCAGGCACTGTGGCTGTCTGGAACCTGCTCACCAAGTCCCTGCTGCAGTGTGTGCACCAGCCCGATGGCTCCCTCAAGCTCTACCCTTTCCAGTGCTTTCTAGCCCATGACCACGCAGTCCGGAGCATTGAGTGGTGCAAGGCTGACAGGTGAGGGCAAGAGAGCTGGCGATGGTGTAGGCACTGTCTGTGAGAGCGGGCTCACTCCTGCAGATCAGGGTCCTTCGCCAAGATGGGCTTGAGAGGATTTGGTGCCAATTGCACTTGGTCCTCTGAGGCACTGAAGAGGTTGGGTTGGGCTTTCTGGGGTTGAGCCACTGCCTGTGGGAGCAGTGTTGTTCTGCGGGACTGGGGCCACCCTGTTCCTGCAGCAGGGACGGGGCACAGCTCTGCACTGGAGTCTCAGTGCTGCCTTTCTCCTGGTTCTCAGCAACTTCCTGGTCACGGCAGGGAGCGACCGTAAGATCAAGTTCTGGGACCTGCGGCGGCTCTATGAGCCCATCAACAGCATCAAGCGGTTCCTCAGCACCGAGGTGGCCTGGCTGCTGCCCTACAACGGGGTCACTGTGGCCCAAGACAACTGCTATGCCTCGTGAGTGCCGGGGCCATGGTTGTACCTGCTCTGTGCCTGGCAGCCAGCCAGGCTAGGGTCTGATCTTACTCCCCAGGGGCTTCTCTGGTCTCTCCTTCCCTGGGAGTATCCAGCTGTGCCGTGATGAGGGCAGGCTCTGCTCGTGCTGGGTCACACCACATCCTGGGGAACTAGCAAGGTGGGCAAGGGGAAGGATGAGGCCCCTGAATCGGCTGGGCAACAGGGCTCCTGAGTGGCCCTGGGTTGACACAAGTTGGCAGAAGGGTTCTGGGGTCTTGGTGTGTTCTCAGCCTCTGGGAGCTGCCCTGGGGTAAATCATGATGGCTGTGACGTGCTGCTAGAGTGAGGACAACCCCTCTTCATCTGCCTGGATCTCTGGAGTCTCTGGGGAGCTGAGCCTGGCTCTTGCAGTTTTGGGGTGACACCATAGAGCTCTGTTATCATCTGTGCCCTTTCTGTTGCAGTTACGGTCTCTGTGGGATTCACTACATCGATGCAGGGTACTTGGGCTTCAAGGCTTATTTTGTGGCACCTCGCAAGGGGACTGTGTGGGTAAGAGGCTGATGTAGGGCAATTCTGTCCTGGGTCCATGTCAGAGGTGTGGGCACGTGCCCCAAACTGAGGGTCAGCTGGCTCCTGCAGCTCCCAGGCAGGGATAACACAGTCCAGCTGTGTGAGGCCCCAGCTCCTGGGTTACCCTTTGCTCCTCGGGCAAGGGGCCATGGCCACTGTGTGAGCTGCTGCCCTACCTGTAACCAAGCTGGCTGCACTTCTGAGCCAATCCATCCCTGGGGGGTGGAAGGTGGTGGTGGTGCTGCTGCTGCAGCCTGGCTGGGGGTGGTGGGGAGCCTGCTGGGACCCTGTGCTTAAGAGACGTCTGTTCCTGCAGAGCATATCTGGCTCTGACTGGCTGAACACAGTGGCTGCAGGAGACATCACCGGTGAGCTGGTGGCTGCAGTGCTGCCTGACCTGGCCATCAATCCCCTCAACGTCAAGCGGTCTTCAGACCGTAGATTTGTAAGTGATCATCATGCTTGGCAGGGCCCATTCCTGACACATGTGGGGCTGGGCAGGGTGGGAATTGCATTCCTGGGTCATGGGAAGAGTATCCTGAGCTGGCCTCAGGGCCTCTGCTGTCCCACAGATGTGTGAGCATGTCATGGATGTGCATCATGCTCTTCATGCCTACACAGGGGCTGTGTGGTGGGGAAGGGCAGTGGTGACAGCCTTGATCTTGGGGATTCTGGGGCAGGGCTCCTGGGGCCCCCAGCCCTGCTCGGTCCCTGGTGGTCCCTGTCTATGGAGGAGCACATGGACCCCCTGCACTGAGCCCCATCTTGCCCACAGCCTGTCTACAAAGCTGACCTGCTGCCCTGCGGGCCCAACGGGTCAGGGGGTGGTGAGCAGGCGCTGCCACTGACCAGGCGCTACAGCGAGATGGTGACCAAGAGCTACTTTTTTTCAGACCGTGTAGGATGGGCAGGGGGCAGGCCCAGGGCTGGGTGTTCCTGGCTGTGAGTGGGAACTGTGGGAGTGGGGCTAGGGCTTGTGGGGCTGTGGCTAGGCAGTGGGAGCAGCA